TAGTTAGTTAGTAGTAGTAGAGAGAGAGAGAGAGAGAGAGAGAGAGAGAGAGAGAGAGGGAGAGGTGGTCGATCTAAATACGCGAGACGTCAGGCATAGCATTAAAACGAAGGGAATCCGATTAATGGCCAGTTCTGGTTCGAAAGCACGCGAGAGAGTTCCCTCGGCGAAGGAAGTGGTCCAGCCAAGAAAGTCGGGGAGACACGAGGAAAGGAACGCGGCGGCGAGGCTACTGAAATACTTGGGTTTAAAACCACCAAAAGGAGTATTACTGACTGTGACCTCGATTCAGCGTGCTCAGGGACCTGGCGATGCCCGACCACCAGAGAATTGTGGCCACGTAACCGATCCACCGCATCCTGATCCCTGAAATCGGAAACATTAGTTAGATACAGGTGTTCGAACCTCCACCTCCTCTCCCTTCTTTTTTTTTAATCCGCGAACGAGATATCTCGGCACGAAATTTTATTCGAAGAAAAAAAAATATTTGGCAGATTAAATTAACGGGCATCGATTTTCAATGATCGATCGTTCGTACGAAAAATTTTTAAATCTAATTTTTCGCTGGATATCTCGTTATTCAAATATGAAAAATTAAATAGTTTTGACAGATGATCTTTGAGAGAGAGACAAGTTGTCAAGGATAGTTTTAAAATAGAAAAATAGTTTTATTTCAAGTTTTTTGAGTGATTTCTGAAAAAATCAAGATCGGACAGAAGAATATGTAACGAATTGAATTTTCAAATTCAATTATCTCGAAGGTATTAATTTAAAACTTGAAATAAAATTTTATTTTACACTTTTCGATTATTTTCACATTTCATCCAATCCAGGAATTAGCTAATTTTACACCAGAAAAAAGCTTTAAACTTAATTTTCTCAAAAAGTAGAAAAATTTTAAATAGAAAATTCTATATTTATCTTATATTTTCAAACATGTATCTTTTCAAATAGATAACCACTTAAATCGAATTAACGTGTGTCTCTACATTTCGACAAAAAAAAAAAAAAAAAAAGAAAAATTTTACAAAGCAAGATATTTCAGATCGACCTAACCTAATGCGCGATTCTTTTACAAAAAAAAAAAAAAGAATTCGCATAAAAATCGAACATCGACGAAGAACGGTTAAAGCGCAAGTCAACCTATATTCTCGCAAAAAAATACGAAAATAATTCTTGAACGAACATCCCGCTCGAGGGTATTGTTACGCGCGCAAGGTTAATCCTCGAGAATCATGCAAATTGCACAAGCGTTTCCATCGGTGGCACAGTTGCAAAACTCTTCTCTAATCCCATCGGAGGGCTTGGCCGTGTGTGCGTTCCACGGGTTACAACACCTGTATGACTCCGCGTTATTGCCTTCCCCGCCGATGCGCCGTTGCACACAGTTGCTCGCGCACTCCTCGGTTTCTGTTACTAATAAGCGTGGCTAATGCCACGCGTTCCTCGCGCGCCTTGGCTAGGTGCCAAAGTACGATTCCGAGGTCACATTTTCGCTCTCGATCGGGAAACCAAGCGGAATCGATCGTTATCCCCGTCCGTTTTTCTCTTTGGATTCCCTCCTTCGTTTTATACATATTTTATATATATTTTATCTTGCGCTCTATTTTCGGATCGATCGATCGATTATTAATTATACAAAAGTTGAAGTTATTTCAATTATGTTTGAACGTCGATTTCGAGTAGATTTTTTTTAATCTCGTGAAAACTTTTCACCGTGTTCAATCGTGTATTTCTTTTTTTTTTTCGACTCGAATAGATAAAATAAAAATATGCGGAAAAGGGATTCGTTCTTTTCATCTCGTTCTTATCTTGAAATTTAATTTATTCCGGTTATCCTTATTACTCTTTGTTACGCACACATTCCGCTCCTTGGCTCGCTCCACTTCAGAATGGAGGATCAAAGTGAGGAAAATAGGAGAATTTCCAACCGATTCGATCCACGTATAATATCAACGGCTGATTTTTCATAACGTTATATCACTGGAACGAAATTGAATGGCGCAACAATCGCGCGCACCGCTCCTTTCTATATCCCGGTCGAAAGAACTCGTCACACTGTAACGGTTTAATGAAATGTGCGATTGCACTGGACCGTTCAGCCGTGCCTTTGTACTAGAAACCTTTCACGGGATTCATAATTTTTGCGTCCGCCGTCTTATGAGCCTGTACACGCCGCGCGGTAACCTGAATTCAATAGCGGCGTAATATCGGCGTACGTGGAGGAGGTCAGTGTGGTGTACGCGTGGAAAATCAATGGATCGCCCCTGGTGCTCTCGTCTCGCCTCCGTGGGTGGGGCCCGCGGAGATTCAATTAAATCGACCCCTTTGTTAGCACGTGCTTGATCGTGACGAATGCCGTGCATTCGAGTTTGACTTATTGTGTTAATAAGAGGTCATCGATTTTCTATCCTTTGACTTTGACGCCTTCGAGCCTCCCTCTTATCGAAAACTCTTCAGAAATTTTACTCGTGGAAAATTATTGCTCAGAAAAAAAAAACAAATTTCCCAAAAATATCTCTAAACACTCATCCAGAGAGCAATATATCATTCGTTATAATAATATTGTCCATACTATTCATTGTCTAACGAAATTGACGTGGAGAAAAATGTTTCATACTCTGGAATATATATAATATGGAATACATAGAGATACAGGTGCAGAGGATGAAGAGAAGATGAAAGGCGGTGCATAACGATTGGAAATGTAACTTGGTTATGTAAAAAAGGTTATGTCGTGTTGAATGGAAGCGAGGAAAGGGGAGGAAAGGAAAGAGGGCGAGGTGCGCCACAGCGTGTGTGTCTTTATGACGGGTCATCAGCGACTATTATGCAAATAAAACGAAAGAGCACGGTAGTAAAACGCAAGATATCGCGTAACGCTCGATGCCGGCCAACTTGCCAACGTTTCCACGGATGCTTGAATATTACGCGAAACTACACACGTACGCGTTCACGCGCGCGTTTACACACGAGTCGCTTCGGTCAATTAGGGTATTGATTTAACAGGATTTCCAGCCCGGCGATGGAACTTCGACGTGAGAATGCGGGAAACGTAGTGTCACGCCTCGTAGTTGAAGTTCTTCCATGTATTCTCTCCTTCCTTTAGATCAATTTCTTTCTACGATTCCATCCTCTTTTTTTCTCTCCTCACAGAACGCAAACAAATTATTAAGAACAAATTCATATTCCTTTCCAAGTTCCAATCGATAAAAATCGTTTCGTTTCTTTTTTTTCTTTATGCAATAAGAACAATTGTAGCGTATATTCAAAATACAAAAATTCTTATTATTTTACTTATTATCGTATACACTTTAGGAGAGACAAAACATTTCTCACTCTAGAACTTGTGTAAAAAAAACTTTAAAAACGAAGACTCTTCTTTCCTTTTTCCCAATTCTTTCCGCTCGAAAATTATTGTCTCGCTTTTTCCCAAACTTTTGCAACTACGTTTCGTCACGTTTCGTTACCGATCGAAAACAAAGTCTGTGATGATCGTAAAACCTGGGGGACACGTACGTAATTGAATCGGTAGCAGGTGCACCCTGCCTTCGACGCGAGAAGAAAAACGCGGCTCGATTGTTGATCCCAGAGAGAGAGAGAGAGAGAGAGAGAGAGAGAGAGAGAGAGAGAGAGAGAGAGAGAGAGAGAGAGAGAGAGAGAGAGAGAGAGAGAGAGAGAGAGAGAGAGAGAGAGAG